GAGAGGGTCCAGAGGAGGGCCACTCGTATGATCAAGGGACAGCAGGGTAGGTCCTATGAGGAAAGGTTGCGGGACCTGAACCTGTTCAGCCTTCAAAAGAGAAGGCTGAGGGGGGATCTTGTGGCCTGTTATAAACTGGTCAGGGGGGATCAGCAGGCGCTGGGGGAGTCCCTGTTCCCCCGAGTGCTGCAAGGAGTGACCAGGAACAATGGTCACAAGCTGGCGGAGGGAAGGTTTAAGTTGGACATCAGGAGGCGCTACTTCACAGTCAGGGCGGCTGGGGTCTGGAACCGGCTTCCAAGTGAGGTGGTGCAGGCTCCCACCCTGGGGGTTTTTAAGAGGAGGTTGGATGACCACCTTGCTGGGGTCATTTGACCCCAGTGCTCTTCCTGCCACAGCAGGGGGTCAGACTAGATGATCTGCTCAGGACCCTTTCGACCCTGGAAACTATGAAACTCAGCCCCATCTTCCATGCACAACCATCATACAAATAACTGAGTGATTAATAATACTCGAGCACAGAACTAAACCAAAAAAAAGATGCATTCCGAATCAAAATAAGATGTTCTGCCCTCCGCTTGACAGATACCAGACAAGTAGGGGGTGGTAGTGATATCACTTCTTTCTTCTACCCATAAGGCGGAGCCCCAAATGGGAAGTCTCACACAGTGATGATGATCATGTTCTGGAATGATCCAGCAAAAACGTGATATATATACACACCACATGTGTATATAGGTGGTACATATACACACCATAAGTAGGGCTCCACACTGATAATCCTCAGAGTTTTGAGCTAAGGAGGTTTGGCCCAGTGCTCCATTTGTAAGGAGGGGCCAGAAAGTACAAATCCATCAGACAGGGTATATTTAAAGGATAAGTTTACTTAGAATAGATAAGCTATACTGGAAATTAGTATATGACAAAAGTAATTTACAACTCTCATGATTTATGAGACTAGCTGTAAGAGTACATCCTAATAATTGTGTGCTTTTCTCATTCTTTAGGTAGGTATATATTTTACTAACGCTTCCCGTTTCAAACCAATACGTTTGAAAAAGTACTTTCATCGTAATGATTAGCCATGATACAAAACCTTAAATAACATGGAAAAATATTTAACAGTTCTCCATTTCCAATTAAACACAAAAAATACTCAAATATCAAGGAAGATATATTCTTGAACTGATAAAGAAAATAGATGACACAAAAGAGAAACAAACTTGAAATAGAGCTTATTTCAGAATTGATCCCACTCCTGAAAAAAATTAATAAATCAAGTGCAATCATTAATTTTGGTACAAAGTTGTTTTAGAGCCATATAATGATTTAGAGATATGTTATTAAAAAAAAAACATACTTGGCCTCGATATCAGCTTTTTCCCGCACTGCTTGAGCCATCTGTTCAGTCTCAAAATACTTCTTTTTGCCCTTAGCTAAATCTTTTACTGTCTCGTGTAATTCAGCTTGAATCTTTGTCAACTGGTCCACACACTGCAAATAGAATGTGAAAAAGGAGCATTATTTTTTTTTTACATCCAATTAATAATATAATTATTATCACTGTTTATTAAATCTTGCATATAGCTACATGCTCTCAAAATATCTCCAGGTCAACCAATGGTCCACTCTTTCTTAACCTAACCAGAACAAAGAACTAACGTCCTCCTACTTTTTATTTTTTGTTAATCTCAATGGCTCTTTAACTTTTAAATTAACTAAACTCAACATGTAAAGATTAGACATGTAAGATGTGAAAACGCTTCATGGGACATTTAGTTACAATAATCCAAACACACTTTGGCACCTGGGTAGAGGGGATATAGAAGATGACTTACAGACTGGGGGGGACTTGCAAGAAAATAAGAATGGAACTTGCATTTTTGCAGTTTTGGACATCACAGCAAGCACACCCATTTCCTATACTGATTAGGGATGAGCACCCAAAAGATGGAGCTAAACTAAGTTTAAGCAACTGTTGCATACAATCTGAACTTTAAAATGGTCATTGAAAGACATTTAACACCCTCACCATGCATCCTTGCTTAAAAAGCAACTGACTTTCATTTCATTTACACACAGTAATATAAAAGTGTTTAGCCATAAGAGCCAGTGCAGAATACACAGTGGATGCAATTTCCTGTCTACCTGATAGAAAACACAGTAGAGCAACTTTCTTCTAAAAGTTAGCAAAAAACATAGTAGTAAACATCTGCAAAATTCAGAAATTTCTTTTTCCCCCCATAAAATTAAAAACTCTCTCTGAATCCATGAAAGAGTTGCTAACTACTACTTAAAATGTTTTTTCTCCTTTAAGTTGCATGTAAAAAGCTTTTGCATCAGAAATTAGTGCCAAGCACAAAGGCTACATTCTCTAACATTAATTCACATCTGTTAATACAGACGTGAGAATAACTACATCTGTTTTCATGAACAGGATATAATCAGCTTCATAATGTACATATTAATTGGCCAGAACACAGTCTGGAGAAAGAGCAGGAAAAAAATTATTAAACCAAATAAAAAAAAAATCCCTTCCCCATTCATGAGAATGAATATGAATTATCACTGGCCAGAATTATACTGTGCTTAGTGAATCAGTTTTATGAAATCTGTAACTGTTCAAATCTGGGCTAGGAAATTTTTGCACAGAAATAATACAATATACATAGATTCAAGTTCACGTTCCCAGATGTCAATTAAGGTCTTTTCAATTATTTCAGTCCCGATATACACAATCCCACAAGAAAATAAGAGCACCACATATTACAGCTGATTATACACACGTCATTCTTTGAATACTTAAAAAAATAAAGATCTGAATTAATGCCTTAATACTATATTTAAACAAGCTTAAAATGCATTTTTCATTTTTTGCATTTGAAGTATTTCTACATTTCCGTTTTCACAACACTCCATTTTGTAAGTATGTACTTTCCTTCATAATTGGACTTGTAACACCCTTTTAAGTGTTATAGTACAGTGAAGTAACATTACAGTTTCATTTCGCATAAGTGGGGACAAAACAGTTTCCATTAACCATTTAAAAACATATATTCCAAAGTGACCTATACACTCTTCCAAATGTTTTGTTAAAAGTTGTATTTGGATACAGGACTTAAAGGTTAAAAGGCACTTTATTCTAGTGTCATTTTTCTGTTTCCCTCTCTGTCCCTCTAATCATGACAGCTTTCCCTCGCAGTGCTTTGAAAGTTAATTTACTTTCAGGCTCAGATCTACAGTACATGCAGGTACAGGGGGAAAAAAGTTTATTGATGCAATAGAAAGTGTCAGCAGTCACACAAATCCCAAGTTATATACAATGCTTTCTTCAAAAAACTGCCAGCATTTTGACAGCATGAAAACAGATTTTTAATTTCTCTCTTCAGGAAAAGAAGTCCAGTCTCTCACTAAACAATCTGAGACTTCCTCTTAACTAAAAGAATTATAAAATCTTCTCTCAATTCATATGAAAATCCTGCCACACATTTCTAGACCAACAAAGTATAGGGCATACTGTATTTACACACATACCACACAAATTTTCCCCCAAAATCAGCCCTCCAAAATTGACACGTTTGTCTACCAGGCACCAGCAGTGGCATTTATATTCTGGCAGCTAAAGGAATTAGTTGACTTAATGGTTCATTGGTCTTCGCACCACAGGGGTTAATTCCTTTATAATACCCTTGATATTCCACTAATCAAGCTAATCTCTTTGAGAAATTCTTCAGCCTGACAGCTACTCCTGGTCTCTCTCTCTCCTCCTATTCCATAGCCCTGGAGACTCTTTTCAGCTCTTTTAAAAATCATAGTCTCACCCACGTGGACCACTCTTCAGCAACAGATCGGGTTTCAGTGTTTCGTCAAGCAGGAAAGGGAGGATAAGCAAGGTGAAGATTAGGTTTAGCCCCTGCTTTATGCAGGCACAACTTTGGGAAAAAATCTTCAATCTGCCTTTTCAAAATCAAGGGGCCTATCTTATTTGGGGGCACTGGCATGTGAGAAAATACAGTAGTAGCATAAGTCTGATAAGGACTTTGGGAAATGCTCAGTGTGAGAATACTGAACCAGTGAAAAGATACAAAGCAATAGAAAGGACTAGGTTGGCAGAGTTCCTAATAGTTACTTTAATGTTCCTGGGGTTCACTGCAATACTACGAAGTGTTTTGGTCCCTAGAGCCTTACATGAGCACCTTGACTGTAACTGCTTAAATCAAAATAAGTTAAAATTGACAGTTTTAACCTCTGTCCACTTTTTTTTCCTTAGTAAAACCACACAGGTGGAAGCTCCCTAAAACTGTTTTTGGGTGGGGGGGTTGGTGGGAAGGATTAGGGCTAGAAAGTTTTTACTTTTTATTTTTTTCCCGATTTTAATACATTTTTTAACTTTATTTTTCAGGAATCCTGGAGAAGTTCTTTGAAGCAGCCTGGAAGATGCGTAAGGGAATGTAAAGATTGTATTATTGGTGTTCTCTCTCGGATGTCTCGACAGGCACGCAGTCAGCATCCGAGACCATCATGCCAAGGGTTTTCATGAAATCAACCAAACTAACTATATCCTGTTAGACGAAAAGTTCTAGTTACAGTGTCATTTCAAATATGCAAAATTTTGCTTCAAGCTGGAAACACACGTCCCTGCTCCAGTCTCACCACAGCAGAGCCTTTTACACCCATATGCCCTTTCAGTTTTCTACAGCAGGGGAAGGCAACCCCCTGGCACGGGTGCCAGAGTGTGGCACTTGAAGGTATTTTGCTTGCCATGTGTGCTTCTGGGTGGATGGCAGGGAAGGGGCTGGGGCTACATGGCAACAACAAGGATTGGGCTGCCAGGGGCTGGTGGCTTCCCTGCCACCAGCCCCTGGCATACCAACATCTTACAAGTGGAAGTTGCAGGTGTTTTTGGCACTCTGCCCAAAAAAGTTGCCAGCCCCTGTTCTACAGTCCACTTTCTGATTATTATATTTTGCAAAGCAACTTGCATTTAAAATTGCCAAGAACTGCTCCAACTTATCATGAACAAGTCTAAAAAAGAAAAGCAGAAGTTGGGGCTGCAAGGTCACAGCTATAGAGGGTTGGGAGCACCTCATCTTAAATGCCACCTCATCAGTAATAAGCTTAGAAAAAGTTGCCATTTCAAACAGAAATTCAATTTAGGCCAAATGGCCGGCAACCTTCACAAGCCATGTGTTGGAACAACCCGGATCCAGTCTGATGTGGGCAATGGGGGGCTTTACCTGTGTTTGCATCAGGGCTGGACAGCTGAGAGCTGCACCCATGCCACCACCACTTCTCCCCACCTGTGCTCCCTGGCTGCGGTGTGGGCACAGCTTTTAGCTTGTGCCTGGGCAACTACAAGCTTTGTCTACCTCCCACCCCATGGCTGCAGCACAGGCACAGCTGGAAGCCACACAACCTTAGCACAGCAAACCACTGGCTGGAAGCTGTATCTATGCCACAGCTGTGGGAAGAAGAGAATGGGGAGGAGTGGCAGTCTGGGGGGCAGTCCCAGCTACCTCCCTGGTCTGGCTGTGAACAAGGAGCACGGGGCACTTGTACCTGGGGGAAGCAACACCCCAGTTGAGACTCACCGAGGCAAATCACTGAGGTGGCAGAGCAGTGGTTTTAACTGGGATAAAAAAGCTGACCCTAACAAGTTGAGCACCACTGGTCTGGAATGCATAGCATGATGCACTTCCTAAGGGCATCTGGATGCATTTTATTTCACTTCTACAAGTGGTGATACCTTGTTTCTCTTGCTCGCTTCCTACAGCATACTGTAGGGGGGTTTTTTAATGGGTGCTTTGTGGCTGTGGTCAGGACATGTGGCCATAATGAGTGCCTTTTGAGACAAAATTGCTGCCGGTGAATGGACTCAATTACCCTTTCAGTCTTATATTGCTAAATTAAACCTGACAATGGCTATCTAATTGTTTGCTACAGAACAAAGCAAAGAGCTTACCGTTCTTTTTCCTCTGAAGCGACAATGCTTTGTTAACCAGCAGACCAAACGTTTTGAGCTAGCAGCGGTATTTTGCTCAGCTGCAATGTGTGTTCAAACACCACTTCCTCACCATCACCTTATACTCTACCCCTGCCCTCAGAAAAGCTTTGCTTTAGTCGAGCTGTGTATTATTACAGACAAAAATGGCCTTTAAAAAAACCCTCCCAATTTGCTCAGTGCAACACGGGGATTTGAGTTGTGTACTCTCTTTAAAATGTTACTCAAACTACAGTATCATCCCCCAACTCCACTGAAATCTGTAAAAAGCTCCCTTTCATAATACAAAACCCACTCGAACACAAAAAAAATTCAGCCTTATATGAACAACTGTGTATTCAAATGTTTTACTGTAGTTCTTAAAAAGCAGAGTCCAATAGTTTTATTTCATGTATGACCAACATTAAACCATTTTCAATGCCCATTCTAAGACAAATTACTTAAAGTGTAATAAACTAAAAAAATTTGTTTTAAATTTAATTTCTCCCTCAGT